GCCTTGTTGTTTCTTGGTTTCATCTCCCGATGCGCCTTCACAACAAGCTGCTTCTTTTCTCGGATTCTGGTGGAAACAATTTTCAAAGCACCACTTTCAAAACACGCTTAACCAAGCAATTTTAAAAATTTGAAACGTTAATCCTCAATCTTCAAGTTCGCCATTTTCAATCCACCTCGGTCTTATCTAGCCCGGCAGCACTCCTTGTTGGAACCTTTTTCGTTGAATTTAGTCTTCAGTTTTAGTGTTTTCATACATTTGTAGGTACAGCTGTTTCAATGCAATTTAGTAATTAGCTTAGCCTTTTCCATCATCCTTGAAGTCCCAATTTTATTTGGTCCATCACTCTAACTGAGTGTGCTCAAACAGCACTCGCGGTTATTTCCTTCTTGATCAAACAAAGTGAATTTTCCCGATAAAGTTTGGTCCAAATGACATTTCTCCTGTAAACTACATTATTTTTATAATTCACAATAACCCTTAGGAACTTACTGCTCAGCTTTAGTTCTGATGTCCTCCTCTTCGGAGTCTAATTCTTCCTACAAAGTAATAACAAGGCAAACACGAATTTAATACAACACAAGGTGATAAGAATCGTTCACTTACATGTACAACAGCTAAAGAGAACACGAACGCAAACATGGTACGCGCACGGATTAGCAAGTATTCACGGGATAGCTACTTCATGTCAAATCACACAATCTGTGTCACTCACCGGTTCAGAGTCGTATAGCCCTGCAGCATCACGTAACTCCTCTTCTTTCTCCAGTTCTTCCAGTTTCTGCAAAGGGCGAAAGTTAAAAAGTCAAATCTATCGTACAGAAAAGCAAAATATTGACTTCCGTGGCTAAGTGGTAGAGGTGTTAGTCATGTATTCTTCAAACCAATCACACTGCCACTAGCCGGGTTTGTCCGCGACATCCTCCTACAGCTCAGTCCATAAAATTACCAGGAAAACAAACAAACAAACAAACACACTCGACCAACATTTCCCAATACTGGCGTCACGCTAGTTAAATAACATATATTTTACCCACATCACTATCAATGGAGATTATATTTTCTACCTTTGAAAAAACCACAATTCCCAAATGCGACCCACCTTCATGATGTCTGGATCAATGAAGTCAGCCACGTTCTTCCCGAGGTAGATCTCGGGTATAATGTCTTGCTTTTCGTCGTTCTTTGTCAAATCCCAATGTTGTCTCAGGTCCATGTAATAAT